TGTGGTTGGCAATGACATGGTGTTGGAGTTTTATTATAAGAAGCCAATGATGGGTTTAGGAAAGGGATTGAGGAGATTGGAGATGCTGAGGGATGTTGAGGGCATGCTTAGGGACATGGAGGGCCATTCGTTGTTACAAATATATGTCGTAGCCCCAATGCAATTGTATGCATTGCCGTTGCATGCACATAAAGTTGATGACAACCAATCATTTGAAGACTGTTATGTACCCATTGTCGAAGAGATGCAAGGAGCGGAGGATGAAGGTACTTGGGCTGAACATTTTTTTTAAGGAACATGCTGAACAATTGTGGTCACAGTATGGGGAAAGCTTCGAATACCATCAAGGCGAAGGTAGATTCACATTTATTTAATGAAGAGGATTGGTGCTCGTAGAGAGTCCTCTGATCGGTGAATAGCATCTATAGGCCCTAGAATTCAGAAAATTGTTGACAAAAACAGTGCTTGCGCAAGGGTGGAATTGGTTGAATGTGCTGGAAATGAAAGGTTTCAAGTTCGACACAACTTAGGCACCGTACTAAATACTGTGGACTTAAGGGCAAGAACATGCACATGTCGTGCTTGGCAACTGTCTGGAATTTTTTTTCCATGTCATTGCCTCGGTAGTATCAAGGGCCTTAATGTAATGGAGTATGTAAATGAGATCTACAAGGAGGCATACCTCATGACTTATACTCAATCCATCTCCCCCATCACAGGCCCGGACTCATGGCCTAACCCAGGTCTCAATCCTCTCGATCCACCAGTGTACACAAAAAGGGTTGGGAGCCCAAAAAAAATAGAAAAAAAGAGCCAAATGAAGTGGCATCAAGTCAGTTAAAGAGGCCTAGAAATACTTCTTCAAGTCAGTCAACTACAGGCACATCAACTCCAAGGAAAAGAGCAGGGATGATAATGACATGCATGAAGTGTGGTGAATTATCATGCAGGAAGTGTGGTGAATGAGGACACAATAGTCGGACCTGCAAAGGGGCACCACCACCAGCCTGTAATTAATATGATAATGCCACATACTTTAACTTTTGTAAAAAAAAATTTGTTTTTTGTTCAATGAATCAGTGCAAATGAATTGAATATGGTTAAGGTTCATTCATGACATAAGTAATTGCTATAGGATATACTGAATTGTTTATGTTTTGTTGATGTTTTTTAACTGGACAGAAAGTACTGGTTTTTGCTTCATTGACTGCAATAGTATATGCTCCTTGCTATTTTGTTGCTGAGTTTAGATTGTTGAGTACTGTGATTGTTGAGTTCATATTGAGCTTGGTTGTTGATTATTGGTTTTGTTGTGTTCGAAATGGGTGTTAGGGACAGTGAGTTGCAGGTCGTATAAACAGGTTTGTGGGTTGTATCGGCAGGGACTTTTTGCACAATTTTTTAAAAGGTAGGGATGTTTTATGCAAAGACAATTTAAAGGTAGGGATGTTTTGCGCCAATACAATGTAAAGGTAGGGATGTTTCTCGCAAAGGCAGTGTAAAGGTAGGGATGTTTCTCGTAAAGACAATTTCATGCTAAATTGAGAAGAACGCCCGTTTTTGTTCATCATCTTCTCCATTCTTACTTCAAACCTCCATTCATAGAAGCACGTTTTAATTGTTTTTCTCACTTTATCCCTTATTCACACCCTTTGTAAGCACAAAATGGGGATAAGCATCTTAATTTTATCGACCACATTCAATTCTCATATATCATTCCAATTTTATTTTTTTTTAATTTACGGCACTCACGATTAACATGCTTCCAAAAATATAGTGATTTCCGACATTTTCCTTATTTTTTACAACATCATTCAAATTAATTTTCATATTACTTACACTTTTTAGTTATACATAACATTTGAAGATGAAAAAGGCGGAATAGAAGGGATGGAAGTTAGGGGGTGTTCGGACGGTTTTACCATTTTGTTTAGAAAATAAAAATCATTTTTTAATGGATTTAACGGTGCATTCTAACGGAAATTGGATGAAATGACGTTTTGTGTAAGAAAATGTAAAGGTAGGGACGTCCATCACCAAAAAATCAAACGTAAGGATGTTTTCCACAAAACCTATTATAGAGAGGGACGTTTTGCGCCAATTACCCTATTAAGCATTGATAATTAGTTTATGCTAAGCACCATCGCATTATACATTAATTCATTGATGGATAATTTTATAGATACTCTCAACTTTGAATGAAAATTATTATTCATCAATCAATTGAAGTGATCAATATCGGCACTTAAAATAAACTAAATTAAACTAAAGTATCATAACTTTATTGATTATTTTCGACTTAATTAAATCTCCATTTGACAAGTTTGTTTCATTGAACTCACAAATATTATCCACGTATATACAATTAATTCTATCTATCTATAAATTGTTTATAAATTCATCACAAGTGGAGGCTAAGCAAAATGGTTAATTTTATCTCTTCGTGTCGAGTTCAATTGCCCGACAACTTGAGTTGTAATTCAAACTAGTTTTGAGCTTATTTTCCGTGATTTCACGAAGCGAGACCTCAACTTTGGAATTGAAGCATATTGTCTATAAAACTATTATTGTGACATATAATTATCCCAAAAATAACAAAACTTAAGAAATTTATAGCTACGGTCCCAAATTTTTTACATTGTTGTAGCTTATACCTACTAAGTTTTCATTTGTAACTTAACATTATCCCATAATAAAATAATTAAATAAATAAAGAGAAAAGAAATAAAAGTCATCTTCTATGCAGAAAATAAATTGTAGCTTCTATGCATTTTTATATTTTTTGGGTGTGTCGTGCTTCTCTAGTCTTTTGTATGACATTCGACAAAATTTTTTGCAAATAATGTTTTTTCTTCCCCTCTTCTTTTTAAGCCCTCTGTTTCTCTTCGTTGAATCTCTCTTCCTTGATTAGGCTAGAAATCCTTTAAAGTTGAACTCAAGTTCTTTTTTTGTAAGTGTTATAATGATACGTTAAACGGTAATTCTGAATTTTGATTGTGTAGTATTTTCTTGAGCTTTTGTTTGGTGGCAGTAGAAGGCAGTAATGGTGTCTAGAGATGAAAATTTTCCCTGCCTCACTCTGTCCCCGCGGGGCCTCACCCCGATTAGAGCAAAAAAACCCGCCACGAACTGGTTGGCGTGGCGGGGCGAGGTTCGCCGCCCCATCTCGGGTCGCGGGGCGGGGCGAGGATGTCCCGCCCCAAACCCGCCTCGTGAAGAATAAAAAAAAAATGTTTTGGACATTGTTTGTTTTGGATATTTTTTTGTTTCGAGTGCTTACTTTGAATATTGATATAGTTAATTTGAACATTATTTGCTTTAGATTTTAAAATTTGAATTTGTATTTTAACTGGAAAAAAAAAAAAAAAAAAAAAAAAACAAACGGGGCAAGAAACGGGGCGCCCCGTCCCGCCCCGTTGCCATCACTAATGGTGTCCTTCTCCTACAACGAAATTAAAGGTTTGGGAGTACAAGTGAAATATTTGAGTATAAACCACAACAAAGGGAAACTTTGAAATCCCAGGTGCAATTTTTCCCTAAAAACGATGGCTAATTTTTTAATGACTGCCTTCTATTCTATTTTACTTCACATTTTGCTACCTAAGTAAACTGAATGTGTTTGGCAGAGGATGATTAACTAGTTTCTATAGTCCAAAGTGACCAAAACTTATATGTTTGAAAACCCGACCGTGACGTCGACTCAGAAAAACGTCAAATATTGATCAACACCAGCGTAATTCCACGCCATTTCATAAGTGATTTTTGAGGGGGAAACATCAGACATATCTCCCATGTTACTACAATACATACAACATAGTTCTCTGTTCCTAAAGCATTCATCTATTTCGCCTCGACAATTTAAGCCTCCATTTCACTTTGAATAGCATTAAAATATGCCAGCAATGCCCAAGCATGTACAATCTACTCAAAAAGAAACTAGCATTCAAATTTAATAATAGCATTGTTGTCGAGTTTGAACTCAGTATATAGACAGCACTCGATAACATTAGTAACCCGAACTGAGATAAACAGAAAAGTTTAAACAACAAAAATGAGAAAACCAACCATACTTTTTCTGCACACAAAACGAACTGTGAACAAAATGTCGACAAAATCAGACTCCAATTCTTGACTGCAGGCAACTTAGTTAATCTCATTCAGTTTGAGTAAAAAAGTTCTCAAATCTTCAATGCTTCTTTTTAAACACCCAATAGACCTCAGAAACAACCCAAGGTGAGGGGGGAAAAAGGTAAATCCACAGAGTAGTAATGGTCAAACAGGAATTCAAGAGTCTACAGTACAAGTACTTAGCTCTCATTGTGCCAAAAGATTTGGACTTTTGAGGAATTTATAATCAACTATAACCTCATTCTTCTAAATATTATACTTCAAAATATTTTTCTTTTACCATTGACGACTATTCCCGCAGAAATCACCTTCATACCTAGAACTTTTATACCTTGTATGCTGTGGAGAACTTTCCCTCTTCCGGTAACCACCATTGAAGGCTCTTCCACCTCTCCTCAATCTTCTAGAATCCCGATAATCTGTGTTGTTACTTTGATATTCCGACTGCTTCCGACCCCAGGATTCATTCCCATTTCCCCCCCAAGACCTCTCTCTGGAATATCCACCACCTTTCGAGATGCTGCCTTCCTGGGGATTTCCGCAATTAACCGAGCTCGTTAATTCTCGATCACAAGTATTCCAACGCCAAGAACTATTTTCTCTCTGTCTCCACCCACCTTGTCTTGCATCCGCAATTTGTGTACCAGAATTCCAATGATTGCCACTTGTATAATCAACATTTGCAGGCGGCCAGGTTTCATTAGGCCCAAGGTTCCTACCCCACGACTCATTCTCACCTCTCCATGCATTGCCCTTTAAGGAAACCCCAAGTTGACTGTGGCTCTCCTCCCATGGGTTTACATTCTTCAAATTTATAGAATCATCCCACTGATTCCATCCCTGCTTTATATCAATTAAATTTCTTGTACCTTCTACTAGATTACTTTCCCATGGGTTATCACAATGAGATTGGTCCTTATCATCCTTCGCTTTGGCACACTCGAGGACTGTATCCACCTCTTCTTTTATAGTGTCCAACTTGTCAACTTTGTCAACACTATCAGGATTAAAGAATTGGCGATCTAAATCAGACACAAGCTCAGGATCGATATATGAATTCCAATCAATTTCATCAATGTATAAATCTGGATTAGGTAAAGGATTATCACAGACAAGACCATTGATATTTGCCCAGTATCGCTCTTTTGCGTCATTCAATGCCTCTTCCCCAGCAGAAGCATCCCACTCGTCCACACTTGGATAACAGCATATATACTTTTTGGAAGCCAAAATCTTGTACCATGGAACTCGTACTGAATTGCAGTAATCTATTTCCCATGATGGCACGCCAGCATGCTTGAATCCTTCAATGAGAAATGATAATAAGATAAATCATACTTCACGATTTCCAACACAAAGCGCATTTTTCATTCTAAATTAAGACACGATTTTTTCACAGAAGTATGACAGAAAAAAATAATAATAATAATAATAAAAATACAAACAATCTCCTGTTGCAATTAAAAGAGCAAACTAGAAAGATATAGTTCAACAAGAGGTACAAATAGAAAGAAGAGCCTACTAACCAAATTAAAATGAAAATATTTTACATATTAGAATTTTCCTCTATTATTCTCTTCTTTTCCATTTTTTTTTCGATGGCTGACCAACTACACAAGCATATTCACATGAGGAAAGACAAAAAATTAGAAAAAGAGAAGCCTAAACATGCAAAAATTAATGCTTTCACACAGAAGGTAAGTGGTAAGAAAACTCGGGGTTTATTTGAGCGCCATTTTTTGTAATAATAGATTTTGTAATAGTGATATTTTGAGAATGTATGGTTGAAAATGAATTTGAAGCAAAAAGTAGTTTAAAGAATAGGGCTCAAATAGGGGCTCATTGTACTAGTCTAGAATAGTAATAACACTTGGCTCCTTGAGGTGCATCTCAAAAGGTAGACTTGCGCGTTTCCAAAATTCAAATGATTCATCTTGCAATGACCTGGGTAAAAGAGGAACATGGGCATCCAATATTGTTATTTACATATGGAACGAAAGAGTTAAATGGTTTGATCTCCAATTCTTAACAACTGATCTTTCGGTGACACAATTTGTCCCATTAGCGAATTTCAATTATGTTCCCAGGGCTAATCTACATAGCTTCGTGCCACCGTAACTATTTTTGTCACGTAACACAAGGTTTTTTCCATCAGAGCAAACAATCAACCCAAAAAATAAAGAAAAATGCTTGTAATACATTACTATTTACAAATTTTTTTACAGATCGATGAAGTGGCGATAAATTGAGTTAAAACTGTCAAACTCTCTTCATCACTTCAATGGTTGTGCTTGCATAATACGGGTTAATGGCAAAAAGAAATTGGGGAATTTTTTTTATTTGGTGGGTGAGATTTTGACTCAAGTCAAATCTTCCCACGTCATGTGTTGGAAATAATTTGTAAGTTGTAATGTACATGTAGCACAATCCAAAAATAAATAACAATACTTTGTTGCTTGGAGTATGTATAGTGCCAACACAACTATGGATGAAATACCTTGATCCTAGTTTTTTCCTTCCATAGAAGGACAAAATTATCATAATGCCATACTAAAGTCCCACCACTTCCGGAGGAACGAACTTTTGTATTAAAAAATACATCAACTCTCTCGGACAGTAGCTTCAGCAAGTTAAATTATCTAAAGACAATTATGTGCATTCCATGGATGACGATCAACAAAGAAATAAAACCAAAACCAAAAAAACAAAAAACAAAAAAAGACCACCATAATCAGATTCCAAATCATGACAGGAAAAAGGAAAGAAGTTATTAGCTATTTTAATAACTTAGCCCACATTATGCATGATATTATTTCCATGTTACCACGTGGCATTTATATGGCTGTCATTATACGATACCTCAAACAGCCATTAATTCTTACAGTCATGTAAATTACCAAGCATGCAATGTACGCTAGTGGCATTACGTGTTTTAGACCCTTCAAAAACTTTCCAATTATACATATTTTTCTCTTTTAGAAAGGGTGTGCATTTCTAAGAGAAAATTCACCTACAAGTTGCCATTAGAACTGGCTAACTTATTTTAACTAGCATTTTGTTTCTTTAGTTCACTTTAACTTTTTTCATTCATGCGATCACGAGCATCAGTCACTTGGAAATAAATATTTCAACTTTCTCTTCAATTGCAAAAATATACAACACTGAAGAGTTAAAAGCATGCAGCACACAAATTCTTAACCTAAAATCTTGACCTTAAAGTTCTTGCTTTGACTTCACAGCAACGTGGAAAGAGAAAAAAGAAATGACATTTTCGTACAATGCCCAAATCAGCCCTAGTCAAGACTCAACTGCAGTCGAGTTAGGAAAAAATGAACTCAACCCTGTTGAGAGATCTCAATTACAGTAGAGTATTTTGGTGAATTGCACAACTAGAATCTAAATTGAGTGGTTTCTTAACTTGATTAAATTGGCAGAAAGAAATGAACAGAACTCAAATCGAACAATCTCGATTGAAGTTGGTAGAGCAAAAAGAAACCAACTTGACTTTAATCGAGTAATCCATAGCAGCAAAAGTATAAACTCAACTCCAATCGAGCTCTAATATAGTCTAGGTGCACAAGGAGATGATTTGATCCCCAAAATTCTGAATTTTTTTTATCTTCCACAAAGGTAAAATATAGATTATTCCAATTATGATTTAAAACAAATAGTAATTCTTTATTCTAAATTTGATTTCTAGTATAAGTTATAACCAAGCAGGGATAAGATTCTAATTCAATTAAAGCTAGTCCTTCCCATAGATGGTGAACCAAGCAACATTTTTTGAACAACCGCCATTCGATACAGAATAATGAAAAATACATTCAAATAAATACAAGAATTAGGAGAAATAGAACAGGACGACAAACACGTTTAAAATAATTTAAACATAAATCCAACAAAATCCCACATACCCATATAGTGTAAAATAGTCTAAGCATAAATTCCAAGAAAAACCCACATACACACACACACATATATATACCGGAATGCCGTGATCGAGTTTGGAGGGTTCTCGGAGGAGAAGGTGGCGGATCTTCATAATCATATCGGTGTTTCTTTCTGGGCACATATCTCCGATTCCAATTGCCCATTTTCAAGAAAAAATAAAGGAAAAAAGGAGAGAAATCGCTATACTGAATGTGCAGTATGGTAGATGTTGAGTTTACTCTTTATTGTCAAAAAAAGAGAGAGGGGATGAGGTGAGAGTGAAATGCTTGAAGGAGTGGATCATATATATATGTACGAGAGGAGGGGTCGCACGTTTGGGGCATTTAGCCGCCTGACAGATATCTAATGTAATGTTTAAGCTTCTGGTTCAGTTAAAAAAGTTTATAAAAATTAATGGAAGTTTATTAAATTTTAATTAATTTCTAAAAATTAATTTTTATTAAAATCTCCTAAAAATTAATTTTTAACAAAGTTAAACAAGAAGTGTCCGTCTAAAAGTTAGGATATGGAGGTAGTTGGCTTTATATAGTTATCTAAGTTTCATAAGTTTCGGGTGAGATTGATCTAGTTCAATTTAATTTTAACGAGAATTTCACACATGTATCTAAGTGTGCCCCATTATCTTAACATAATCAACTCCGACATTTTCCCTTGCTCGAGACTCTTTTTATTAGCCTAGTCATGAACCACCTGGTTGGAACCATAGTTTAACCAATTTTGCCTCATATCGTCCTTGCTCTTTGTCTAAGAGGCCATATGCCCATTTGGCTCCTCACGGAGTCCAGTTCACATTCAAACTTCTAATTGGAGAACGGTGATAGCTAAGAAGAACACCTTCGTCTCTCTAAAGCTAGTAAGAGAGAGTTAGCCGAGGAAGAAGGGGCGAGGGGAGAGACAAATTTTGATACGTAAATGCCTCTATCTGTTCCTGTTAGGTTGAAAATCATAAAAACCCGCCAAATACAAGTTTTGAAAGGAAAGGCATTCTTTCCGGCTTTCAATATTACAATAAATGTTTCGAATTCGAAATGAGCGTAATCTAGTTTGACCTAAGTTTAATAAGGCTCAAAACATCTTGAATATTAATGAGAGTTTCACACATGAACCCAAAATTCCACATGGAATGCTAAGTGATTCGATTTAATGCCTTCTATCTTTTTATTAGCCTAGTCATGAACTACCTGGTTGGAACCATAATTTAACCAATTGTGCCTCATATCGTCCTTGCTCTTTGTCTAAGAGGCCATATGCCCATTTGGCTCCTCACGGAGTCCAGTTCACATTCAAACTTCTAATTGGAGAACGATGATAGCTAAGAAGAACACCTTCGTCTCTCTAAAGCTAGTAGGAGAGAGTTAGCCGAGGAAGAAGGGGCGGGGGGAGAGACAAATTTTGATATGTCAATGCCTCTATCTGTTCCTGTTAGGTTGAAAATCATAAAAACCCGCCAAATACAAGTTTTGAAAGGAAAGGCATTCTTTCCGGCTTTCAATATTACAATAAATGTTTGGAATTCGAAATGAGCATACTTTAGTTCAACCTAAGTTCAATAAGGCTCAAAACATCTTGAATATTAATGAGAGTTTTACACATGTATCCAAAATTCCACATGTAATGGTAAGTGATTCGATTTAATGCCTTCTATATTATAATTGAAAATGGTAAAACTTTCGTGTAATTTTTAAATTTTACTTTGACGTGTTATATGTCAAGAGTATTAATACCTCGCTGGTTAATATAAAACTTACAAGTCGAAATTATTACATGCTAAACTGGTTCCAGCTCGATCACTGGTTAGTCAATTTTTTTTTTTTACTTTTCTTGGCTACTATGGCTTTAAGCTCCATGTTTGTTTCAGACAAAATAATTTGACAACTGGGCTGATTTTTGGGCGTATTAATCATTTGCACCTCGTAATTACGCCGAGAAATTGGAAGAAAAGTACAGCGACAGAGGTACGTCTTCGCAGAGCACGGCGGTTCGACGTTTGACAACTGGAATCAGGAACAGTTAACAGGTATTATTGGAGTTCACGAACAGGCAATTGCTTTCATTCGTTACACAAATTTCCCCTCCTTTTCCGTTTCAATTGGGTTTCGGATGCCCCTTCTTTTATCCGAGTTTGGATTTCTTGCTGTTGCTCTATTTCTTTTTGTTGTTTTTTAATTTTTGTAATCGCATGAGGCAGAATGCGTGATATCCTCCGTCCTTTTAAAAAAATAATGCTGGCTTACCGAGTTCCTGTTGAAAACCCAGACATTGAGAGATTATGATTTTTGGGTATGTAGTTTCCGTTGTGAATGGATATGCATCCAAAAGATTATTTCTACTTCAGTGGTGGCGGGATTTGAAGCTTGTTACTTTCAGATTTATGCCTCCAATTAGGGCAATATTTGAATAGAATAAAATCATGTAATTAGATGTCCTATTTGTTAATCTCGATTTTTTTGGTGTTTGGTTTCCATTTCCCGGGAATGAAAAAAATAAAATAATACATTGCTAAATTTATTGGCTTACTCGTGCACAGTTGTTTCCTTTTATCAGTAGATTTTGAATAATTATTACAAAATCTTATGCAAGTTGCGGGCAGCTTGTGTTATGGTTACAGTTGTTATTTTTGCCATGCTTCTATAATTATTTTTTATTCTTATAAAAAAGAAAAGAGATATGCAAGGGGTGCCACGGAGAGAGAACCCTCTGTTCTTATTTTCCTATTTTCTGTACAGTAGGGTAACTGTTTGAAACGGTTTGGTTCTGGGTGGAAATGTAAAAGAACAAATATTAACCGAGTGTAAACTGTATAGTGTCAAACCTTGTGGGTGATCCCAAGTGCTTGGTTTTACAATATAAACCATATTGCCATTTCTGGTTCTGAAAACCAATAATACGCGAGGCTTTGAGTATGTTTTTAAAACGGGCTTGGACCATCTTAGAAAACTGGGAAGCAGCCAGAAAACCGGTTCAGTTGTTGTTTTCTTTCTTACACACATGCAGCTTCCATAATCACAACCCTACCCCTCCAGTTTGCCATTGCATATCCACAAGCTCATCCTCGCTGGTCACAGAATTTTCTACTGCACAGAAACAAATTTGTCAACTGCCAAAAAAGGTAAAGAAGAGATTTAAAGAAAAAGAGAAGGCAGCTGAAAAATCAAGAAGAAAATCATGGAGTGGAAATTATGGGTTGAGGGTTCCTGATTTAAGTGCTCAGAGAGAGAGAGAGAGAGAGAGAGAGAGGGAGGGAGGGAGGGAGGGTTGTACTGGTCAGTTCAGTACTTAGCCCATGTTTGGGCTACATTATTTTTTTCATTCTCATTCTTCTACTCATTTTCAATCACACATTTTTCAATAAAATAATATTTTCCATAATATCAATAACTTTTCATTCTTTTTCAACCACACATTCTCCATCAATCTATTATTTCAAAATACATTCTTCTAAAATAATGTGGCTCAAATACACCCTAAATATGGGCAATTTTTTTNCTTAATCTCTTCACTAATTCTCATCTTGGACAACCAAGTCCCATTGCATTCGGCAGACTATCTCACTCTGGTAAATTTAATTTAACAATGGTAACTAGAAAGGACCGCCTTTGTTGATTCTTCACGTATCGACATCTACAACACTGTATTAATTCACTTATTCTTTATGTGTCAATATCATGCTCATTGTCGTTGAGCATTTTCTAAATCAACTTTGTAAAGTTTGATCCATGTCTTCAACATTAGTGCAGTATGGTGGGGCTTTCCCATGGAGAGAAGAACTTTATAAAGGGTGGAATCGCTCAAGATATATGAACCGATGGTTGAAATGATTAACTTACCAGCCCATTTTTGTGGAGACTGGTGTCATTCCAGAGGTGCAGAGTGCGTTGTTTTGCAGATTAATTCTTTGCATACTTTTGATATTTTCATGCTAAATTTTTTGTCCTTGTGAGCTTTGAAAAGGCAAGTGGTTCGGCAAGAGTCAAGATGGGATTGCCAGTGTGAAGGTATTATACTCCATATTAGTATTTACCCTATTGGCAACTGCCTACCGACCCTTACTTGGTGTTGCTTAGTGTTTTTTCTGATTAACGATAATTGCTACCATTTACAACCTGTCTTTCATACGCAGGCTGAGCTTGGAAAGCCAATGCATCTCATCCTGACAAAGGAGAGGTTTCCATATATGTTGATTGCGGTCCAACAGCAGAATCAACTTTTGAGGTTCTGTTAATTTCTCTATTTGCTTCTTAGTTATATGTAATTGGAGGGCTGGAGTTTATTTTCTCGATAGTAAAAATATGAGTGAAATGACAACATGTTCTTAGTTGAAGCAAATACAATACTTATGAATTTCAAAATTTTCTAGCTCATTTTTTTGTGCATATGACATTCTGGAACATCTTCTAATAGTTCACCTGGTAAATAGACCATGATGCTATATAAGACATTAGGAATTGTGCTTTTTAGTATGTGGAACTCAAAGGCTTGTAAGTGACTGTATATGGAGAGTGGTGGGTTTAGAGGAGGAGACTGCCTTTCAATATTGTGCTTATAACTGCATAAGATTGTGCATGTAAGGGGGATGTGACTTAAGCTAAAGTTATTGGGATTCTAATTTAGTCTTGCTTTCTCCATCTTCACTTTTTTCTTTGTGAAATAACATGTTCTGTGATTCACTAATGCTTCCCTCTCTTGTTTCTTTTACATGTGGTTTAGTTCAGGTTTTAGGTATTATTGGCAGCATTTCCAGGGATGAAATGCAACTTTGTTGTCAATCTTTAGCTATAATTAAGTTTTGGATCACTTCAATAAGCTGTTTGTATTACTAGGATGATTATTTTGTCCAATGAAGGTAGAGCTATAGATAGTTATTATTCTGTGTTCAAATATTCTTTGTTGTGAATGTCGTTCAAATTTCTCATCTAACTCTGTGTGACTAGGGATAGATCAAAGGATTCATGGAGTTACTGTAGAAAATTTTATGCATTTTCTCAGACAGCTGATATCATCATTGTAGTTGTTGCTTGTTAGGTTTGAGTGATCATTGTCAGAGTCATTCTCACAAGCTTCGGATAAGAAACGAGCAATTCTAGTAAGATTTGTAATATGAATACCTTTATGCTTTCCAGAGATATAAGGTGCCATTTTAGGATTCCATTTCCTAGTACCATGGCCAAAATGAACTCCTGCCTCCATCATCTCTTCCAAATTGATGTTCCAATATCTTCTTGTCATCCCCCCCCCCTTTTTAAAAAAAAAATAAAAAATGAAAGGAGGAACTCTAAACTGAAATAAATAATTGTTCCCTGTAGTGTTTATTGAGAACAAGATACCCTTCTCTATTCTTATACTATTAAAAACTAGCTTTTGATCAATAAATTTGAATGACCAAAAGTGAACATTAAAGATCTGTGGACATTTAGATTTTTTAAATGATTATTGGAGGCTAAATTTAAACTGTCTCATTTTAGCGATGTTATATCCATTGCTGCAACACGATAGTTTCTCTTCTTTTGGATCACAATATTACGATTTGATCAACCCTCTTATCTAAGGACTAGTCTATTGCCCGTGCAATGCACAAGTTATGTTATTTTGAAGGTAATGTTAGGGGTAAGTTTTTATTACTTTGTTGTTTAGAAATAGACATGTGTATAGAATGGTCTCTGTTTTCAATAACATCAAAACAAATTAACAATGTTACATAATTGAACGGGAAAATTGTTGGATATTTTTTCATAATTTATTTATTTGTTTATTGTTGTCAAGTAAGGGAATTTCGATTTCCGTGTACGTGTTGAAGAGTTGTGTCTGTTGAAAGTTAATAGTTTTTCTTCAATAGACATACTCATTCATTCCAGAAGACACTTTTCCCCTTATATATTGAATATGTTGCCCATTTGCAGATACAAAGAATCTGATCTCCGCGCTGCGCTGAGACTCCCGTCCGCACAGCGCGGACACTATTCTCCATGCGCACGGAGAGATTGTCCTGCACGCGGAGTTCTCTCTAGCGGAGACCCCTCCGCCCTGCGCCGTGATCTTGATCCTACTGCCCTCAAAACCATACCTGCTGTAATATATTATCCCAATGAGTTCAAGGATAGATTGGAATGTGCAGTGTGTCTTTCTGAGGTCTCACTAGGGGAAAAGACTAGGTTTTTTGCCAAAATGCAAGCATGAGTTTCATATGGATTGCATTGATATGTGGTTTCAATCTCATTCCACTTGTCCTCTTTGTTGAGACCTTATTAGGAATGAAAATGAATCCTCATCGAATTCTAGTAGTCCTGAAGAGACTGCAATCCAAACCCCAATTGAAGAAAATTCATGCCACCCACCAAATTTTCCCACCAATGTGTTGTTCTGGGGTAACGAGACTCATGTTATTACATTTGGACCTTGTTTAGAGGATAGTCATCAAGGCATTGCAACTGCTACTCCGTTTCAACCCACTAGCTCGTCATCATTGGCATCGACAAGAAATAGGCCAGACGGAATGCTTGTGATTGACATTCCAAGACAGGTTAACGAAGAGGAAGATGAAAAATCGTCGGCCCCTTCGCGTTTGAGGTCGTTGAAAAGGCTTTTGAGTGGTAATATAAAGTTCAACCCTTAGAGTCCTAGAAATGAGGATATGGTACAAGGATGTAGTAGTCATAGTTGATATCCCCATCCAATGTCTTGTATGTAATTATGTACAAATTTTCCAGTAACAGGGGTGTGATGCTGCAGTCGAAGGTCATCAAGTTCAATGGTTGTGATAGCTAAGGATGTCAATATCCTCCACTTCAAATATTTATTTGTTCTATGTTTTTGGTTCTTGGTGAAGATGAAACATATAAAGCTTAGAAAAAATATGGTTTTGTATACACCTAGTTGATTTCTCTGTTTGAGGGATCCGTTTTTCTGTATAGGTTTAGTTAGTGTTCGAAGAAGCATGAATACAATTAAGCTTAGAATTGACTACCAATAATAAATGGTTGCTTTCGTTTTTTCTTTCTTCTTTATTCTCAGAGACATAAGAAGAGTCAACAATTATGAGTACAAGAAAGTTCATATTACCCTTTTGTTTTAAAGCTTCATGAATAGATAGTGGAGAATGGATATGGATAAGATGGGATAAAAAAAAAACCCTTCATAAATGAACAGTAAACAGTGGATTGGCTCTTTTAAGATATTAGGGATACGCGTGGCAAAGTTTATATTACTTTCTGTAACAGTTGATTTTGCCATCTTTTTAAAACTACAGTTTCCCAATTTCCCCACCTATCTCGAGGGGGTTGTCCCATAATTTTCTGTTTCTTTTATTCACACAGGGCAGAGGTAGTGAGGAATTATCTGTGGAGCTGTCTACTGCACTTCAGCGGTGTCTCTTGGGTGGTAAAAGTGGAGCAGGTACAAATGCTTAATAATTTAATCTCATATTACTCCATGTGCTGTGAAACTAGATAAACCTGTTAACCTTTGTAACTTCCCCTTGCATAAATTTCACCACAGGGGCTGGAATCGATCTCTCATCTCTGTCAATTGTTGAGGGCAAGGTTTGTTGGGATATTTATATCGATGGTCTTGTGGTTAGTTCAGATGGGAATCTGCTCGATGCCTTGGGTGCTGCCATTAAGGTATATGCATTTCTTCTCAAGGTTCCATGAAAAGTAAAAAGTTTAGCAAAGCTTAAAAAGTTTCTTTGTAAGTAAATAAGTATGATTTTAAAAATAAACAGTTTTTTATGGTCAAAGTTAGTTATTTTAAGTAACTTTTTCTATTTAAAAAGTAAGAGAAAAGTAACATGTCTAAACCTGCTCTTACTGTGTTATGGTTTTGCCATCAAAGATGTGGATGACAAAGTGATCTTCGTGGTCTTTTTCTTCATTCATTTCAGTTCTGATAAAGTATGCAATCAATATCAAGGAGAAGAAACATGCTTACATTGGCATTATGATTTCATGAATAAAGCAATTTTTCGCTAGTCCTCGTTTGCTTTTTGATTATTGTTCTTCCAGGCTGCTCTGAGCAATACAGCTATTCCAAAAGTTGAAGTCGCAGCCAATGCCTCATCAGACGAACAGCCAGAGGTTGATGTAAGCGACGAGGAATTTCTACCGTTCAGACACAACTGGAGTCCCTGTCAAAATTACGTTAACAAAGGTAAGATGGTTATATTTAGAGGTTTCTTTTTTGAAATGCAAATTTTTTTATGCTACATAATAATCATTATTTTATTTTATTTTATTATTATTATTTTTTATCTTAACCAATTTTGCAGGTTGGCAGACATTAAATTGTAGATGCAACTCCAGAAGAGGAGTCCCAAATGAGTTCAGCCGTCTCCATTTCTGTCCATAGGCAAGGGCGAATATGCGGACTGACCAAACTCGGGGGGCGCAGGTCTAGACCCAAGCATTATACTTGACGTGATTTCTGTTGCTAAACACGTAAGCGAGCAGTTGATTAACAAATTGGATTCCGAAATAGCTGCAGCCGAGGTTTGTGACGAGGAATAATGATGTAGACCCTTGGTATTACCTCGGTCTTCTAGTTTTTTGTAGTGCAAGGTAGACAGATATAATGCGTGCAGTTAGTTGTTGAATATAGGTTATAAAAGGATTGTGTGACCATAATTTTGTATTTTCGGGAAGACACTGTGTAAACATTTACAGTTGTAGTTTACTGTTTCAGGCGTTTTGCTCTAGTTTCAGCATTTTCCATCTATATTGCATTTTATATCATAGTAAATTGAGCATCCTGTGAAGGGATGAATATTGAAGTATACATCAATGTGCATACAATTTCTTTTCATTCATTCGATTCTATTTTTATACTCCCTCCGTCCTATAAAAATAGTCATATTTCTTTTTTCATATAGATTAAGAAAATTTAGCTAATATAGTTGAAATAATAAATTTTACTATCATTTTTTCTAATATATCCCTACATTAATGTAATCAACACTCAAGGTAATTAAATTTTCATGCAATATTCAAGATAATTAAACTATTCTTGGTACTAATCGTTGTTTAATGCAAGATTCAAGGTAATTAACATTTCAAAGTTATTCAATACAAATACAAATGAATAAATGTCATGGAAGATGAAATATTTTTTTGATTTTGAATTTATTGTTCCAACTACAATTAAATAATGGAATGATTTACATTTTTAATAACAAAATACATTAAATATGGGCATATTAGGAAACTAATATATTAACCATACTCTCAAATAAAAAACATGACTACAATTTATAACAGACGAAAAAGGAAAACATGACTATCTTTATGAGATGGATAAAGTATTAATTTTTAGATATAAGTGTCATAAATGGTTGAATCAATTTTCTCTAAGCTTTGAACATGATTGGACAAAGTTACCAGAATCGTTGGACTGAATCACAATTGGATCAGAATTGATCGGTTCGATTTGGTTTGGTTTTTATCTATCCTAATACCAAGAACCAAATAACTTGATTTAAATCGAAATTTTTATTTATAAACATTGGCTTGTGCTCTGGACCGATCAATTTTTTCTTATGAATATAACCATAGTGAGTCAAGTCTTTCAGTTCATTATTGGGTTATTCATAAACTTAGACAAATGGATCATTTAAATTTCATAGATTTAATTTGGATTAATATGAGGTATGGGTACTCAGGGGCGGACTCAGGAAATTTTTCCAGTGCGGGTGGTATTAAAAAAAAAAAAAAAGACTAATTAGTGCCTTAGTAAATTAGTAATAGTGGTTATTCTTCATATTTCCCCAAACAGGCAACAAGTTACAAACTTACAAGCCAACAACACTTGCTGACTGCGGTTATTTTCTTCCTATTTTCCCAGCCACCTGTGACTTGGTTACTAATTTACTATGATTAGTGCCTTTTTGGTTAACTTAACTGGTTATTCCTATTTGGCTATTGCATATTTGCCTATTTCCCCAAACAGCTAACAGGCAACAACAAGACGCAAGTACTGCAAGTCAGCAACAAGCCAAGTAGCAGATGAATACCAATAGAAATTATAGAAACTCACCTACAGGGGCGTGCGGCGTGGCTGCAGCCTGCAGGGGAGTCTCACGGTCTCAGACTCTCAATTCTCTGTTGATGCGAGCGTATTGTAATGGTTAAGGGTTGCAAGTTGTAGGGCTTCTATCATTTGGGCCAAATAATTGGCCTACCCTTTTTTTTTAAGTATTGGGTTGCTGAAAAATTGGGGCGGCCCAAAGCCCAGTGCAGGCAAATGCAAGCACTGGGCTTTAGCTGGGTCCACCCTTGTGGGTACCTTCCTAAATTTCAAACTAGCATTTTCCGATAACTCATTAAAGTCAATAGTTGATGTAAATTATAACGTTTAGTTAAACTTAAAAATTGCAAATCAATAACGTCGATATAAATTAATTCTGGTCCGATTTAATACTTAGAGAAGGATTTAATGGTTTCATTTTTTAGATAGAATCATGCTATTGGGCCCAGCTCAATGACCGGGCCCAAAAAAGGGCGCCGAGGTGACGCCCTGTCATTTGTCCCGGTCATTGAGCCGGGACAAATGGCATAATTCTTTTAGATATAATTTTGAATGATTGAAGAATAGGTAGGAGATGGGACAGACAGTGTCTAGGATAATGGGCTCGATCAATGGACCATCTTTGGGCTGGTCCTGCATATGACAATGAGCAAGGCTTACTCGAAACCACAATAATGCAATTTAAAACATATTATTAGTCCATACTCGAAAAAATGTCCATGTCGTGCATACGCGTCGAGACGAAATTCCACTCGGCAGACAACGATTGGCTCCCAACTTTCAAAGGTGGCTCTATACTTCTTCACTTCTTAGTATTCGGGCCAACTCTCATTTGCGTAGGTTCGTTTTTAATATTGAGCAATACTATTCATTAATAGTTGCCATCACCACCGACCCGACCTGTTCTACTTTTTTTTAAATAAAAAAAAATTGAACTTTTTATTAATTAACTTCAGCAAGTTCAACAATTTGACAACATTTTCAGAAAAAAAAAAAAAAAGTTAAAATTTTGTTAATTGTATTGTTCCTTACAATTAAATGCTTAAGAGCGGGAGTCGGGTTGGGCGGGCAAAAGCTTTGGCAGAGCTATCCTCAAATATTTGTGATTCCTGTGTATCGAACTGTCACAAAATCCCAAAAATCTTCTTATAATTAATTTAAAGGCAGTTATCTGTTCATCTCAGGCAGTTGAGATTTTATTAAAAGTTTAATTGAGTTTATTCATGTAATTATTGCATAACCACTTGCAAGAGAAATATGTGCTTTCTCTTTCTCATTATAGAATAGTCTCATTATAGAGGAAGACGTGTTTCACGACTAAGGAACACGAGTATAATACGCACCGTGTAGTCGTGATCACGAGTGATCTTAATTTATATTTCTTAGTCGATATGCAAGAACACAAGGGTGAGAATATACATCATCCATAGTAATGTAATACTATTATTTTGCTCAAGGTCAAGCAAGCGCGGACCTACTTGAGAACCATTGGGGGCCGTTGCTCCCACTCAATTTTCAGATTTCCTGATTTTTCTTCAAATTTTCAAATTTTTTCTTTTTTAATTTTTTTGTCCAGGTTCTTTTAGGCTTTCAGAATTTTTTTTCGGAAATTTTTTGGTTTCGCCCCCACTGAACTTTCTTCCTGGGTCCGCCCCTGAGGTCAAGGCTCGTATCACAACTATTACAATTCGACAAAAAATCGATTTTTCAAAAATTTATACGAGTGCATGTTGCAAAAAACACGAGAAGATATGTTGATCGATTAGTTCATATAAGATCACATGTACAATAACATATCTAGCTTAGTATTGACAATTTTATGCACATATTTAGTTCATAGCTATTAAAACTCTGAGTTAAATTTATGTTTGGTGGGCAATATCAATCGTGACTGGACTACATAATGAATACGATTTTAATTTTTTTGGTTTCTTTATAGTGTTGGTTATATTCTCTTTATCAAATATGCTGTAAAGGTAAATTATAAAATGTATGTTTTAAGTATTTACGTAAATTGAAAACTACCATTTAAACACCAAGTATTTGACCCTTTTTCTTGAAGCTTCACTTGGTCCCACTAAAGATACGTATCTATGATTTATTGCGCAAGAAAGAAATTTTGTGTTTTATCGATAGATACTTGCGTGTTCTTTGTGATCAATAGATTGTATTATTATATACTTTCGTGCTCTGAATGATTATTATATATATCTTTTGTCATTATGTACTTGCGTGTTTCTTTTTTCGTTCAAGCAAATATTATTTCAATTTCTTTTCGACATCGATGTCTTGTTGTTTGTAGAAGATAGGGGACTTGGAAAGACTTGTAAAAGTAATGTTAAAGAAAAGGGAAGGGAATTCAAATTGGCTGCTCCAAACCTTTGATAGGTGCTCCTATCTAGGTGGTCCAAGGTTTGAGTGCAGAAAATGTCTTTGAATTACTTTTATACACATTTCTCCTTCACAATAAATGACATATTTTAATGGAAATAAGGACACTAGTAAAGTCCAAAGGACTTGGTTTAAGATGTTAGAATTTGGTTGTGATCCTAATTTTTTGTTGAAATAATTGAAAAATTCTAATTGAAGTGCACGTAAAGAAGAATTCAATTTGGAATGCTATTAGAATCTTATTTAAATTGAAATTCTATTTGGAAGCCCTATTGAAAGTTGAAATTTGTATTAGACTAGAAAATGTTGAAATTATGGACCGAGAAGAATTTTTGCTAGCCGGGCCGCTCGAGCAATACCTATAGGTTTTCTCTCGAGACTTAGTCGTCGTCTGTCGCTCGAGCAATGGACATGTCGCTAGCTTATCGCTCAAGCGACAATGTCATCCTGCCCAAGCCCTTTTCGCGTTTTAACACGTTTTTTTGTATTCTACTACAATTACAACTCGTCTATTAAGTTTTGAACGTCGCCCTACACGTTTCCTATAAATATTAGGTTTTCTATACAATTTTATGGTGTGACAAAAGTGATTACTAACTTTTAAGATCATTGCAATATTTCTTCATCTGCATTATTTGTGGGCAATAAAATCTCATAATTCCTCTATCATATTTTCTCCTCTTCTTTTATTCTTTTGCTTGTGATCAAATATTTCATTATTGTCACTTGGACTAATTTTTAAAAAGTCGAAATAAAATAGTATTCGACATGTGAAATTTATTGAGAATGAGACGCAACAAATATTGTATATATTTTAGTTGACTCGTGTTGAGAAAAAAGAAATCAATGGACGAAGCTTGTGGTAAAGCTAAACCTAGCAGCATCTTTGTCGCAAGTCATTCAAAAATTCTACAAAATATATCCACTAACAACACTGA